TGTCCCTGGACACTTTTGAGAGCAAGTCTCCTGGCTGCTCTGGGTCAGTACCCACTTCTAACAATGGCCGGATTTCCACTGCCTCCGGCCTGGCCATTTCCTGCTCTCTTCCAGGGTGTGAGAGGTAGAGGGAGGAGGAGGCCTCAATACCAAGGGGTACAGGAAGATGCTGGGAAATGTTTGGAGTATAGAACTTCTGGGACAGAACACTGGCTGAGAGACAGAATCTTTTATTCCTAAGGGGAGAACTAGAGATTGTAGGGAAATGGAACTTCTGAAGGGTCTGATGTGGTGGTGAGGATACTTAGCTCCCAGTCTTTCTAGCAGCTTTAGGGACTCCAGGGACCCTGCCCCTGTGCTCAAGTTGCCAGAGCAACTTTTTGGTTTTGGGTTTTTTGGGTTTTTTTCAGCTTTGATGTCCTTACTCTCCTCTTTTTTTTTAAAGATTTATTTATTTATACAAGTAGTAGGCATAGTCAGAAGCGCGGGAGGGTGAGAGAATTCACCAGAGCCAGAGCGGGAGCAGAATAGGCAGACTGATGAAACACACTGCTGAGGGGAGCAGCGGGCGCGGCAGGAGAGGTCTGTGTGCCATGTGGGACCCTTGCCGGTGGCCGGGGATCGAACCAGCACTGCAGAGGCTGTGAGCAGCCTCGCAGCCTAGCACTCAACCGCTGTGCCACCAGGGGAGGCCCCTCCTCTTGCTCCTCTTTAACAGTGCCTCATTAATGATCTAGGGGAGGAAAAGGCAGAACTTGAGGGACCCCATTCCTTTCTTAAAGGGCCCCATCCTTGCTCTGAGGATTCCATTTCCATTCTCTAGGGCAGGCCCCTTTCTCAGGGCCCCCAGGGCCACCATGCCAGCTGGGGGCCGGGCCGGGAGCCTGAAGGACCCCGATGTGGCTGAGCTCTTCTTCAAGGATGACCCCGAAAAGCTCTTCTCTGATCTCCGAGAAATTGGCCATGGCAGTTTTGGAGCCGGTGTACTTTGTGAGTTGGGGCTTAGGAGGGTGAAGGAGGGATGGGGCCTGTATCTTTGTCCCCATGAAACTCCAAACAGCCCCTGTATCCCACTCGTGTTTCCTGCCTTCTACAAGTCTCCTGCTGCCCAGTTCTCGCTGGGAACCATCACTACTTTCTGGTCTGGTCCTCTAGGCCCGGGATGTCCGTAATAGTGAGGTTGTGGCCATCAAGAAGATGTCCTACAGTGGGAAGCAGTCAAATGAGGTAGGTCAGCCTTGACATGACTAGGTGGGGCAATAAGTGACCCTAGTCTCAAAATGCAGCTTTAATAAACCTCTCCTGATCTCCTCAGAAATGGCAGGACATCATTAAAGAGGTGCGGTTCCTACAGAAACTCCGACATCCCAATACCATTCAGTACCGGGGCTGTTACCTGAGGGAGCATACGGCTTGGGTGAGCTGGCCCCCTGACTCTGGGCTCATCTTTTTCCCAACTTTGGCCCATCCTTATACTGGTCTCTATTCTCTTAGGTAGACCCTGTTCAGGTTGTCGCCATGAGAATCTTGGGAGGAGAAAGTCTCCTGATCACTTTAGTCCTCAGACAAAACCATAAACAGCAGTGTCCCTCAGAGGAGAGGCTGGTTTGAAAAATGACACAGACTAGCAGCAGTTGGAAAGAAACATCTGGCTGGAAAAGATGGAGATTGAATGGGGCTTTGAAGGGATGCAGATGGGCGTAATGGTGATATCTTGGGCTTTTTCTAGGGGAGACCCTCACACTGGGGATAGTCCTTACCATTCCCTCATTTTCTCAGTTGTCCTTCTTCCCTGTCATTCCCCTGGGGGCATTGCCTGAGTGGAGGATAGGAGGAAGCACTCTCTTTTGGAGATCTACCTAAGGGAGATGGCCAGATCTGCTGATCTCTGACCCTTGACCCTTCCTTAGCTGGTGATGGAGTATTGCCTGGGCTCAGCTTCTGATCTTCTAGAAGGTAAGTGACTCTTTGACTAATAAGTGGGAAAGAAAAAAGAGTAGGGAAGGGTTAGGGGGAGCTTGTTTCAGTCCCACCCTTAGGCTTCCTCCCTTTGATGTTTTCCCTTATTTCCACAGTACACAAGAAGCCCTGCAGGAAGTGGAGATCGCAGCTGTGACCCACGGGGCCCTTCAGGGCTTGGCTTATCTGCACTCCCACAACATGATTCATAGGTACAGTAGCACTGATGATGGCTGGGAGTGGGTGCTCTCTACACTGCTCCTTATTCTGCTGGGTTATGGTCTTAGAAACTTGGTACTAAAGCCCCTGTCAAGCCTTTCTGAGCCATGTATCTTATTCCTATGCTTTGCCTCACAGGGATGTGAAGGCTGGAAACATCCTACTGTCAGAGCCAGGCTTGGTGAAGCTAGGTGACTTGGCTCTGCATCCATCTGGCACCTGCCAACTCCTTTGTGGGCACCCCATACTGGTGAGTGGGAGATGGTGGTGAGGAAAAGTGCTCCCAAGATGATGGGAGCAAGAGTTGTCAGGGTCTGGGCAGTGATTAGCTTCTTTTTCCAAACCATCTCCCAGGATGGCTCCAGAGGTGATTCTGGCAATGGATGAGGGGCAGTACGATGGTAAAGTGGATGTCTGGTCTTGGGGATAACCTGCATTGAGCTAGGTAAGGAGTTCTCTCTGCTTCCTCATCTACTTTTCTCTACTCTTTTTGTTGTTATTGCTGTACCATCCTATTCTCAGACCTGTAAGCTGTTACCTGTTTTCACTCTATCCTTATCCCCATATAGGCAGCTGCAATATCCTGCCAGTTCTGAGAACCCACAAGATTTCATAACATCTATTTCTTACCTGTTCTTCTATACTAGTTCCACATCTTTTTGCGTGCCCAGTTTGTACCATACACACTACTAGTAGATCCTAGGTTACAGAGGTGAGTGAAACTTTTGTAAACCTCATGAAATTTACATCCAACTTGGAGAAATAGCTTTCTTCATGTGATGACAGCTGAATGGAGAGTTACAGGAGCAGCACAACCACAAAACAAAGAACTTGATCTAGTTTAAGGACTATCCGGAGGGTTTCCCTGTAGCAGAGATGTGTCTAAACTAACCACATGACAAATAATATTTAAAATAGTTAGCCTGCTTGAAGACTTGTGGGGAAGAGCATTCCAGAACAGACACCTGGAATCCTGAGGTAAGAAGCAGGCATGGGGAGCTGGTCTAGCTTCAGTTGTTTGGACATATAGCAGGTGAGTGGTGAGGCCAAAGAGATAGCTCAAGTGAACTCATGAGGCCTTGAAATCATGTCAGGGTTCTAATCACTGCCAGCCTACACTGTTCAAACAACTATCTAGTGAGGGCAGTATTCTAAAGTTCCCAGCGTGGTATCAGATACAATAGTTGCCCCAGATGGTGATGCCTTTGGTTATTCTTACCACCTCTTGCAGGATCTTTTCTACTCCAATCTCTTCATTCCAGTCTCTCTCATGTCAGAGAGATCTGCTTCAGCTCAGTGCTGCTGTTTCCACTCTTGTCATCTGAGTATCACTATGCTTACCCATTGCCTTCTAGACCCTTAAATCACCCCCGTTATTCCTTCCAAGCTAAAGACACTACTTGCTAAAGGCTGGCTTCTCCCGTCATGAGCTCCACCCTGAATGTGCCACCAAATTTTTCCATTTTCTCCCTGGTTTGTATTGTGTCCTGCCCCAGTTCAGACATTTAAGCATACC